GGCCCGGCCGGGCCTCGGTTCATGAAAGGGGAGGCCCAGAACCGGGCCGGGTAACCCCGAGTCCGAGCCAGGCCAGGCCGGGCCTCGATTGTTGTATTTTTTTTTTGGCTTTTCCTAATTAACCCCCAACCCTCCCCTCTCACCCCCAAACCACCTCAAATGGCCCATCATACCCAACCCAACCCAAAAACTTAAAAAAAATTAAAAAAATAATAATAATAATAATATGGCTCGGAACGGGCCCAAACCGGCCGAGCCGGTTCACGATTTAGGATGCCCGAGCCCGGCACCAACCGGTTCACCGGGCCGGTCCGGGCTCGCACAGTAGCGGGCCAGTCCGGTTCCGGGCCGGTTGGCCCGACCCGAGTCCACTCCTAATGTTAGGGGAACAGGAATACTATTTCACATGTCTCTCAATTAAGTTCATAGTTCAACTGTTTTAGTCAAATTTTATATTACGTATATAATCTTTGACAGTTGATTATTCAAAATTTGCATTATTTTATCACACAATATTAATTTTATATACTTCATAACAATATATATTATTCAAATGTGAATTTAATATAAATATAGATTGTTTTAAATTGAGAATTTATTTGTGATTTTAAATTGAGAATTTATTTGTGATAAAGAGGGAGCATGACCATATTAATTTATGTATAATATACTCCGTAATACTTCTTTTGTTGGTTCCTTAGTCCTTTAATAAACTTTTTACTTTCTTTTTATGGATATCCCTAAATAAAACTCTCTTTCCCTATATGATAAACAACTTTCTATCGATTTAGGTGCTGTTCTGTTCATCTTATTCTTATTACTTATTGTCTATTCTTATTTTATTCAGATCGTATCAAATAAGATCAGAATAATTCAGATCAGATCAGATCAGAAACATTCAGATCAGATCAGAAGCATTCAGATCATATCAGATCAGAAACATTTAGATCAGAAACATTCATAGCAAATTGGAAACATTCTATTATTGTCGATTATATTATTATTATTATTACTACTATTATTATTATTATTATTATTATTAGTATTATTATAATCATTATTATTATTACTATTATTATTATTTTTATTTTATTATTATTAAATAATTATAATTATAATTATAATAATAATAGTTATTATTTTTATTTTATTATTATTATTAAAGAATTATTATAATAATAATAATAGTTATTATTATTAATATTATTAATCTTTTATAATTAATATTGATATTATTATTAGAATTATTATTATTAGTATTATTATATACCGGTTTAGAAAGTTAAGATCAGATCAGGAAAATTCAGATCAGATCAGGAAGATTCAGATCAGAAATAGGGTGAACCACATATTTTGAGACAACTCAAAAAGGAAAATAAGACAGATGAAATATAGATACATCTATATGGTTTTTATATATGATCAATTTTACTCCGTATTATATATGCTAAGAAACAAAAATAGAACAAAAAATGGAATTGAATCACCAGGAATTGCTCGGATACACCGGAGCCTGACCTGGATCCGTACCGGGAGCTGAAACTACCGGTGGAACCATTTCAACTGGCACTGCCAGCACAATGTTTCACAAAGTTTCAGCAAAAGGTGAGAACTTTTTTTAGCTTATTCAGACTAGGGTTGGACTCGGGCCGGGTGGTCCGACCCGGAACTGGCCCGGGACCGGTACTGTTCCGGCCCGGCCCGACCAGGCCCGACCCGGCCCGAGTCCAATAATAATTCAGACAAAGAACCTTTTCCCAAAGGAATGAAGACCTACTAGATTATAGGATCTTGATCTTTGACAAATACAAGCTAACAAACAAACAAACACACGTTATATCTTATTCTGACAGTTTTTAGGTAGGTAAATTCCTAAGCAGACGAAGTGCAAGCATCCATTGAGGCCGCTGTGATAGCACAATCCTCCTTAAAACTGGAACTGCTCCAGCTGCGATAATGGCTGCGTGGTTTTCGGCATCCATGCTTAGATTATATAGTACAACTAGCCCTGCTTCCACAGCCTGCTCAGTCCCACTCTCAATGATGCTCACCAAGGGGAATATCCCTCCTGCGGCAGAGAGAGCTTGGGTGGAACCCACCACTGCTTTGGATATAATCCTGTTTAGCTCCACGACAGCAGTCTCAGGACAAAATGAGGTTTGCATCTGTTCTACCAGTCTTGGGATAGTCTCATAAAGAGTTACCTCCATGTCGATTGGGTTCTCAGAGCTTGAAGAAGAATAGGGGCCGGGTCTGGATAGAGAGGTGAGTTTGACGAGGCAAGCAGCGACCCATTCTTTGTGATGAAGAGGAACATTGTTTGACTTGAGGACTCTTCGAAGCAATTCAGTGAAGTGGGATGCATCTATTACGCGCCTGAAATGCTCAAATTCCAGCAATGTGGTGAGTAGACGGGATGCTGCAGATATGGCATAACCAGCTTCTTCAATTTCGAGAGCATGTAGTTCAGGCCTATGTCCATCAAAATCTGACTGCGTCTCTGTGTGTAATGGAGTGCAGTGAGAAAAGCAGTATCCCAAGAGGAAAAACTTATGTGTTGTTATTCCACACAAATACAAAATACGTGTCCCAAAATCAACTCATCTTCTGACTTTTCTCATAGATAAAGAAAGTGAAAATTGTTGAGAGTTGTTTGAGGAAAGAAAAATAATACGCACTAGGCAATCTTTGTCATAAAAGGAATAAATGTTCATATTGTTTTCTTTTTAGTCCTCAGCTCTTTATCAATCTCCACCTAGAAAGCACCACTCTAATCTAAATTTTATATAAATAATTACAAATTTTTGGAGACCATTGGTGGATTTAATGTTGGATGAATGAAATGTAAGAGTGCATCAGGATTTCTATGCAATCGAGGTATGCCGACTAGATTGAAAGGTAAACTTTATCGAATAACAATAAGACCTGCATTAATGTATGGCGTAGAGTGTTGGGCGGTGAAGCAATGTCACATTCAAAAGATGAGTGTAGCAGAGATGTGTATGTTGCGAGACATACCAGAAAAGACCGCTTGAGAAATGAGATAATCAAACAAAAAGTGGGAGTAACACCTATAGAAGATAAGACAAAGGAGTCTCATTTGCGGTGGTTTGGGCATGTGCGTAGAAGACCCAAACAGACTTGGATGAGAGGAATCAGAATTGATATGCATCTTCTTGGGTTGGATGAGAGTATGCCTTTGGAAAGAGCAAAGTGGAGGGCGCACATCTGTGTGGACAATTGATGTTTTTTCTACATTTCCTCTCTTCTCTTTTCTCGTTCATCTTCTTTATCTTTTATATTTTTATGTTATTTTCATCTTCTAGCTTTTTTATACTCTTTTATTTTTATATCTTCTATCTTTCTTACTTTGTATATTCTTATGTTATTGTTATCTTATATTTATTTATCTTTATTTTATCCGTTTTATCTTACTTCTTTTCCCCGCTCCTTGTCTGTCTCTTTGTTTGGCATCGGTATATCATAGATCGATTCATGTTAGCCGACCCCAAATTCTTTTGGGATTTAGGCTTCAATATTGTTGTTGTATTAGTGGATTTAATGCTAAACAAAACTAATCTTTCACATCCTCAATATAGATATGGTTCTGTGGAAAAAATGGTGTTTCTAAAAAATGATACTCCCTCCGTATTTTAATGTTTGGTAAACTTTCATTTTGTTAGATGTATTTAAAGATTGCTACACTTTCCATTTTTGGTAAGTTTTACTTCAAAAATACTCAATTACTCATATTTTTTCTACTTTTATCTTCTTTTTCATAGTTTTACACCATCTCTCCTACTTTTCTACAATATTAATTCAAAAAAGTTATTTGTACCCACCCTTATACTAACCATGTTTGTGCAACACATTTTTTAGACAATATTTTGTTTGTGCAAAATTTGCACAGACCAAATAACACATATTTTGTCTGTAAACCGGACTCACAGATAAAAAAAACCTTCACAAACATGGTGGTTGTAATGGTGGGTACATCAAGCATTGTTGATATTCTTAAGGACGTGTTTACTTTTCTACTAAAGTCACAGTTAGGTTAGTAACACAGGTAAAGTGAACACGCAGCCTGCTTAAAAAGCAGCTTACTAACTGAAATAGGTGCTTACAGTGCCGCTTACTAAGCATATCACCCCGTGTATTAATTAAGCGTCATTTTAAGCTTTTCTGTTTCCGAATTTACCCCTACCCTTACCCCTTTCCCTTACCCCTAACCGTTACAGTTACCCCTATCGGCCCATCCTACCCCTATCTCTACCGACCTTACCTCCCCCCAGCCCTTACCACCCTATCGTACTCCTAAGCCCACCCTACATGTCCCCCGTACTCGCACCCCTGATCCTTGCCCATACCCCAACCCTACCCTCCCCCGTTACCCCCTACAACTTGTCCACACCTTGACCCTTGTACCCACTACCCCACCCTAACCCCCTCGTACCCCTGACCCTCACACTTACCTCGTACCCTCAACCTTGTCTTTACCCACCCTACCCCTACCTTACCCCCCATGCCCTAACCCCCTTCCCCTCACCCTATCCTCGTCACCTTTACCCTGTCCCCTACCCTTGCCACCCCTAACCTCCACCCACCCTACCCCCAAACCATCACCACCCGCCCACCCTTACCCCTATCTCTTATAGCCCTTACCACCCCCCACCCCCACCCCCTGCCCTCCTCTTTTACCCCTACAACCTGCTCCTACCTCGACCCTACCCCGACCCCATACCTCTACCCCACTTCGTGGTAGGGGTAGGCAAGGGTGTATAAAAAAGCAAGAGTGAAATCATGTTAGTCATGTCACTTTTGATAAATTGAAATTACTAGAGACACCCAGGGGCCAGGACTAAAAAGAAAATAGCACAAATTTCAAAATAACAACATCATTCAAGCCTAAATCCCAAAAGATTTTGGAGTCAACTAACATGAAACGCTCCATGATATCAGAGCCAAAAAGATATGAAAGATAAGAAAAATAAAAAGATATGATAAGATAAAATGGATAAGATAAAGATAAATATAAGATACTCCTTCCGTCCCTTATAACTTTGCCAACTTTCTTTTTTCGGTTGTCCCAAATACTTTGTCATTTTCCCTTTTAATCAATCAATTTGTGGCCTTGTTATTTCTCTCTCCTCTGCACAAATCTCTATCACATAGTTTTTACTTTATTATTCTACATGCCAATCAAACTTGGCAAACCTTTGAAGGACGGGGGGAGTAAAAAATAACATACGGACATAAGAAATAAGAAAGATAAAAAAACATAAGAAAGAAAAAATATAGAAATAATATAAGGACATGGAAAGATAAAGAAGATAAAAAATAAAAGAAAAAGGGAGAGAAAATAGATCAATAGTCCAAACGAAAAACAAAAACAAAAAATAGTTTTGCAGGGTTCTAAAACAAAAAACCTAACATTTGCAGTAACTAATACGTAGTACATATCTAAGCCTATGACTCTCTAAAAGTTCAACAGGAAAACTTGCATTTTAGCGTAAATACAGAATGCTGAGCAACAGAACTTTTCAGCTATAAGTTTTAATTTTCTCCTTTAGACGAAATAACAAATTTAAAATAATCTAGATGATACCCACTCTTCCAAGTACTTCGGTGTCTTTGGCCAGTCAAAGTACACTAAAATGAGCTACAGATAGGACGCCACAGCCTATATAAACCATGCAAGTAAAACTGGAAAAGCTTAGCTTAAATCCATTGGTAGAAGTACACATCTAGCCATCTAGGCACTGTTCACTTCTTTGTGGAAACCTAGTGACATTTGCTCAAAAAAGGATGACACCCCATTCCTGAGGGCCCTCCAAAACCCCACCGAATATTTATCTTAGAGGATATAAGTTGAACTTTGATCTCACTCTGATGGAAAGAGAGTGGGATTCCATCTCAAGTCATTTCTTTGAGGTGAACCATAGTCACATAGTTCACGGAACGCTTCGGTAGGGGAACGAGGATCGGGAACGCGATTTGCTAGAACTAGCATATCTGGTATGGAGGGAGATAGGTTCATTCCGGTACGCGTTCGGTACGTTGTACCACATGTTCAGTACATTGTATCTTATACTTTGGTACTATAATAAGTCAAATTTCATAAGTCATAACTTTTAACAAAAAACAGGTTTCATAATCATAAGTCATAACATTAAACAAAATGAAAAATGTTAGGGCCTGTTTGGAAAAAGGAAAACAGAAAACGTGTTTACCAAAGAAAATTGCTGGAAAACTGGAGAAAGGAAAACAGAAAATTGCGTTTACCAAATCGTTTTACAAAACCAAAAAAATGAGATGTCTCTCTTTTCCTTAATGAATTGGAGAAGTGACTTTTACTAGTTTTTCAAATCTGAAAAACGCGGGTGCTACAGTGCCGCTGCAACGAATTCGCATACCTACGCCTAGTGGTGGATCCAGTTCCGCTCCAATGTCATTGACCCGGCGGTCCCTGTCCGATCCGGTTGACATCCGAACAATTCCGATCCGGTCCAGTCGACGACCCGACTGTCCTGATCTAGTCTGGTCGATGACCCAGTTGTTTTATCCGGTCCGGTCCACATGACCCGACGGTCCTTGTCCAGTCCGATCGATGATCCGGCGGTCCATGTCCGGTCCGGTCATTGACCCGGCGGTCCCTCTCCGATCCGATTGACGGCCGAGCAACCCTGATCCGGTCTGGTCGACGACCCGACAGTCCTCATCCGATCCGGTCGACGACTCGGTGGTCTCGATCCGGTCCAATTGATTACCAGATAGTCCCTGTCCGGTCCACGACCCTGCGGCCTCTGTCTAGTCCGTTCCACAACCCAACGGTCCCTATCCGGTCCGATCGATGACCCGATGGTCCTTTTCCGGTCCAATCGATGACCCGAAGGCCCCTATCTGGTCTGATCGATGACCCGACGGCCGTTGTCCGGTCCGATCCACGACCAGGTGGTGCCTGTTCGATTCAATCAACGATTCGGCGATCCCCGTCTAGTCTAGTCACTCGACGGTTTAATCTCGGTTTTTTGAAATCATTTTTAAAGTGAAGAATTTTAAAAGAACCGTTGAGTTGTACACCAATAGGGAAATGAGAAAAGAATTCTTCGAACTAACCGCTGAGATAGACCGGGACCGGCCCATTTCGGTTCCGGCTTTCCTATATGTAGACCTGGTACCCTACTTTGATTTCGGAATGGGACCGTACTTTCAGTCTTCTAGTCGGTCACAGTACCGGGTGAAAAAATTTGATGAACATGTTTTCAGATTTCAAAATGGAAAACTAAAAAATGAAAACAGAAAATTGGAGATAGAAAAACCGGAAAATGAAAACAGAAAATTGGAGAACGGAAAACAAAAATTAAAAACTAGAAATTATCTTTGTTAGTAAACAGGCCCTTAGTATTTCAGAAAACGAAGATATTCCAAAAAATATTAATTTTCTCTCAATTTATAAGAGTTAGAAGGTAAAAAAGACGAGTGAATCAGAAAATAAGAGCC